TTAGTTATGATAAACAATATTTGTGGAGAAGAAAAAACCAAAATTTTTTAATAAAGATGTAATTTAGTTTTGTTCATTGAGTAATTCTATTTTTCTGAGAGTTAAACCTATTTTTTTATACATTTTATTATCAATATGTTTTTTTTCTTATTTCTGAGAGTAGTTTTGTATAGTGTATACATAGAGAATGATCTTTGAAATTTGTATGTATATATGAGTTTATATATACATGTATATAACTTTCCTCTCTTTCATTGATGTTTTAGTCTCTATATATACTTTTTATTCTCAATGCCAAAGTATTATGGCTTGATGATGGGATCGAGCGACCTCATTTAATGTCGAGTTCTTCTCTCTTAAGATGGGAAGCTCAGCTTACCAACTCCGAGGTGTGACGCTTCCAGCGTCGTGTTCTCTGGGTCCAACGTATCGTCATTATCGGACGCTACCAAACACGTACGGCAAGTCTTCCAATTTGGTAACAAGATACTTTAAACATTTCTTACTTGTTATATTACCAAGTTTCGATTGATATCCGTCGTATTTTGAAATTTTAGAAGTAAGAAGTTTATTGAGCTCAGATAGTTCCAAGGTTAGAGATATCCTAGACCAAAATTTCTTTCAGTGTACCATACCTTGCTTAGAACTATGCGACGTTTTACAGATTGCTAGATTATTCTGAGAAAGTTATGAAACGTTTGAATTTTCCATTCAAAATATTATTTTCTGGTGTGATTCAACCATGGTACTTCACAAACTTGAAAAATTACCCCATGATCTAGAAGTTTTTGATGCAAATTGAGTAGCGAAAATTCAAACGCTTGACAGTAATGTAAAATGGCGACCAGTGCGATCTGCTGACAATCCCACCGATGCTTTATCTTGCGGTCAAACTCCTGTTGAATTTTTACAAAATTCGAATTGGCTTTCGGATCCGAATTGGCTAGCAAAGTCCGAATCGTAGTGGCCTAAAAGCGTCGTCATTACAGTGCCTAACTCTATTCCACGAGGTAACTGCTAAGCCACTGTCATTAAAAATGATCGGTTTAAAAATTTTCCGATTTTAATCGTTTGACTAGATTTATAGCTCGAAGTCTACGATTTAAGGTTGCAAAGCAGCGTATTCATGGGAAAAATATGAGCGTGAAAGAAACGTTGGAAGCTGAAACGGTAATTTTACGACTCGTACTAGCAGAGCGTTTCTCGTTAGAAATAAATCTTGTTAAACAAGGAAAAGAATCGCGTTTAAAGGCTTTTAATCCTTTTCTGGATGCAGACGGCATTTTAAGGGTTGGGGGTTATTACTGATCTGATTATACGTAAAATTCATATGTCAAATGGTCACCTAGAAATTCAATCCACTTTAAGTTTTATTAGGCACAAATATTGGATTTTGGACGGGAAAAATTAAGTGCTTAAAATAGTTCAACAATGCGTGACTTGTCTTTGATATAAACCGAAATTAATTCATGCTTAAAGAGGACGATTCACCAGAATCTCGAGTTAATCCCGTACCAGCATTTAGCAAAGATGGTACTGATTTTTTCGGTCCAACATTCATTAAAGAAAAAAAGTTTCGAAATCGTAATAACGTAAAGGCCTACGGTTGTGTTTCTATATGCATGAGCACAAAAGCAGTGCATATTGAAATTATTAGTGATCTTACTACTGAAGATTTTCTCAGAGGATTTAGGCGTTCCGTCACCCATCGAGAAATTCCAGGACACGTATTTTCCGATAACGGTTCTAATTACATCAGAGCAAAAAATAATTTGAAAGAATTATACAGTTTTTTAAATTCCAGAGATTTTCAACATGACCTAAACGAATATGCAGTGCAAAAAAATATCGTTTAGCATTTTTCCCCACCTTTATCACCGCATTCTAGCGGTCTCTGGGAGGCTACAGTTAAGCTTTTTAAGCATCATTTGAACTAAGTCGTTGGTAAAAAAAACGGCTTACTTTTCAGGAATACAGTACATTGGCTACTGAAGTCGAAGGGATTTTAAATTCGCGGCTTATTTATTCTTTGTCATCCGATCGATCCACAAGTTCTTACTCCAGCACATTTATTAATAGGTAGGCCTATTACTTTGTTCCCCACTTGTGATTTTATTGGCATTTCGGAAAATCGTTCGTACTCATGGAACTTTATTTCGAGTGCAAGAGAATATTTTCAAAAGCGATAGTATATTGATTACTTATATGAGCTTTAAAAAAGATAGAAGTGGCAGGGAGACAAAGGAGGGATCAAATTAAATTCAGTAGTATTTCTGATAGAAAAGATTACCTGCGCTGATTGGAGGCTGGGCGTAGTAACTGCGGGTATGACTGGCACTGCTCCAATCACTGATAGTCAATAGAAATAAATACATAAAAACTTATTTTATAATGATGAATATGCAAAAAAATTTTTGTCGTAAAGTAGATAACTGCACAAATATTATTCAATCGCGTATCAGTACGAAACATAAATTTGAATTATGTTATCAATGATAACACTGACGGGTGTGCGATTGTCTCTCAAAAAATTAAATTTTACAGCAAAAAGTGACCTGCTTTCAATGGTATTTTTATTAATGAATATGGCAAAATCACACAAAAAACAATTTATTGAATTAAAAAAAACCTCAATTTTTCGATACATGTAATGAAAATTAATTTTGAATATTTTTTCTTTTTAATTATTGATGCCAGTATTTGGTACAGTATTTGTCGCTACTGTTGGATTACTGGCAGTGATTCGGTAAGGTACAGCCACCTAACCTAACAAAGTCATCAACCACCAAAGCCTCTTGCTCAGTATTTGTTTTGGACTTCTGAAGATATTTTTCAATCAGTAAACAAAAAGAAGAGTATAACGAAAACTCCATCAATTATATCAGGTCCTCTGTGGCAAAAAATCAGTAAAGAAAAAAAAAAGATAAAGTTGTTAAATTGGAAACAGCAGCAAAAAAAAAAATGAGATCAGAGAAAAGAAAAATGTTACAAATAAAAAAAGAAAACGACAAATTAATCAAGAAAAAAAAAATATCATAAAACAACAAACCAGAATCGAAAAAGCAAAGGCCAAACTTGTTGCACACCAAAAAAAAATTAATAAAATTAAAAAAATAGATAAATTCTAAGAAGAAATTTTCGTAAAGATAAAATTAGAAAAAGATTTGAAGAACCAAATAAGCGAAGTGCAAATAAAATTAAAACACATTGATAGCTAAATCTTATTATTTTTTTTCAATTATCATAGATTTTATTAGATTAGGTAGATTTTATTGTGATTTTACGTGATAAGGGTTAAAAATTATATTTGCCAGTATTACACGGCCAGTAATTCAAATTTAGACAGTATTGGGGGGCCAGTAATACGTGCATGGTGTCAGTAATAGTTGCATGTTGACTGTTCACAAAAATATTTATTATTAATAATATGATCTTATTTATGTCTATTTAAAAAATCATTTATTGTGTGTTATTAAATAAAGTTAATAATAAAAAAAAAGTATTAGATTAATACATTTTTATTTTTCATACCATTCATTAATGTAGCCTAAATCAAAAAAGTGTCAGTAATACCCACAGTTACCCTAGTTGTTACTCTTCACCCTGGAGACGATTGTATGATGTGTGTGGCTCCAATAAAAACAAAGAACGGAGTTTATAATTAAATTATTACGAATTTTTGTCCATTGCCAGACAAAGGAGTTACTAAATCTCAACAGAATTTTTCATAATTTTTTTTTTTTTTTAATTAAGTGTGAATTTTTGTCCTAATTGTTTAAATATTTTTTTTTTTCAAGCATTAAAATTTCAATGCCAATATTGTTATTAGTTTACTATTTTCAAATAATCTCTTTTTCTTATATTAATCATGTTTAAAAGTATTTTGTACAATAATAATTGTAATGCAAGCAATTTAGTTATTTATTGTTAAAACGAATACAGAGCTCAATTAGCTTTTGTTGTAAAAACACTTGATTACAAATTACAATCTCAGCTTCATAGTACCATCTTTAAGGTTCAATGCTTATCTCGCTCATCCTTTCGTTTCGCGATCGCGGGGGAGTATGTTTTGAAGATTATTAGAAACAGTTGAGTATGTCAGACGCGTTGATTTTGTTATGAGCTATATTCAGACTAAGAAATAGGCAGTTAAAAAATTTATATGCGCTCACTTCCTTCACTTTCTCTTAAAAAGCTCAAGCTGATGCACCTGTCTTTTCTAACCCACATAAAGTTTCACTTTTGTAACCTTTACATTTGTCTAATCTTTGGTTGCCCACGGCGCCTCAAAAACGTCTACCACTAGATTAAACATTTTCGTGACGACGAAAACGCAGATTGGCTGGCCAGCATTCCCGAAACTCAGAGCAACGGCTCGCCTTGATCAACCGTTCCCCTTGGAAAAGAGTTAGTCTACAACCCAACCGAAAAGTATTTTTCTTAACATATACTTGATTTTACGCATTCTCTTGCATCACATCTATTTAAATTTATCCTTCATTATCGTTTATTGTTAGAATGTAATTTATTTTACTCAAATAAACTAGGCTTTTTGCTGAAAGGTTTTTTCCTGTCCATAATGTTTTTTATTGACAGTGAGAGTTTTTGAACTTCAATTATGTTAGTGACAATTAAGAGAGCGACGACACATATACACATACGAGTCAGCTATTATCATTAATTTATTTAATATTTTATTTTTTAGAAATTTTAAAATTAAACACCGTCGCATACGCAACAATGCAACCATCAGAAAGCTGAGTCAAAAATTTATTGAATTGTATTTAAACCCTTTTTTTTCGTGACGTTTAAGACTCAGAAAAGTGAAGTTAAAAATATATTTTTCTTTTTTTTTTATTTAACGTTGCGATGCTCTTTGTTGCTAATTAGATCAATAAAATGAAATTATTTTATAGTAAATAGTACTCATGTATTAAAAAAATTAAAATATACAATGCATAATGAATGTGAAAACTTAATTTTAATTTAAATTACAACAGGAACTGTCTGGACAAAACAGTAATGATAGTTCAAATGGGCCAGCTGGACCAGCTACTCCTAATTCACAAGGATTAAGGCCAACACCATCACCAACAGGCTCTACAGGTTCAAGATCTATGTCACCAGCTGTTGGTCAGTTTACATCAAATTCAAACTTATTCTATTGTATTTCTGCTTTCCTTAAGTCATATTGTAATATCTTTAATATTTTTACCAGAACTATTCATACTCTTTATGTTTACTACAATTATTTATTCATTTTAGGTCCTCATCACCATTACCACTATCATCATCATCATCATCATCATCATAATCGTCATCATCATCATTTTCATAATCATCATCATCATCATCATCATCATCATCATCATCATCATCATCATCATCATAATCATAATCATCATCATCATCATCATTATCATCATCATAATCATCATTATCATCATCATCATAATCATAATCATCATCATCATCATCATTATCATCATCATAATCATCATTATCATCATCATCATTATTATTATAATCATCATCATCATCACCATCATCATCATCATCATCATCATCATCAATATAGTTTCTTTATTTTAATTCTTACTACTTTTTGATATTCACATTATAGGACAGCAACCCGTTCAAATGCCTCCCAGACCGTCCAGCAGTCAGTCTGATGGTGGTGGCACAACTCGAGTGAGCTTATCACCTTTAGCTGCCCCAGGTATGAACTTGTATTGCGTGTAAAATTTTATAACTGACTGTAGTTATTTTTGAAATTTGCTTGAATCTATTCATGAAATTCTAGTATTACCGTCTAGGTTATCCGAAGAAAGTATTCTAATAGCAACTAAGAATTACGATGCCTGGTTGTTTTTACAGATTTGCAAACAAACGGTTGTATGTATGCATGGATAATTGGGAACCTAATCCAAGTGCTGAAAAGTACTTTTAGTGTTTTAGTTTTTGTTTCTTTTTTAAGCTTATGTTAGAATGAAGTCGTGAATAGTAACCACTTAATTGACATGAATTTTTTGTAGATAAATGTCTAGTAAGCATACGTTTTGAGCAAAATTTTAGTTATTGATATCGATGAACTTCTGAAAAGCTAATTATAAGTAATCAGAAAGATTTAGTAATGAACAAACACGGTGCAGTGCTGTCGATACAAATTGTCTGTATTAATGAGGAGTATAGCAATGTTGAGAGGTAGTAGAAGAAACTTAGCAAGCTGCACACATGATTTCGAGCTGCTGTTGCGCGCCATTTTCCTGTGAAATAAGTATTTCTTAGTATGTCTGATAGATGTGCTTATGAATATGACATGTTAATAATAATGTACAGCTCTTTTCGTACTCTTATTTTGTGCTTGCTGAGAGCGTCAGAAGACTTTGTTTGTGAAGAATATCTTGTAAATTAAACAATTTTATGAATGGAGCTGTTATTGTAAACTTAAGTGCATAGACACATCATATAACATTATCGCGGACAAGAGCACAAAAAAAGGTGTTAAGAAATTATTGTTGGTATATTTGCTTACTCGTGCATAAACGGGTTATTAACTAATATTTAAATTTCTTGTGCTTTGAAGCTGTAGCCCATAATCACTAATAAAAAAATTCATAAAAAGAAGTTTTCCACTGCGAAACAATGTTTTCTCCCTCTTCTAGCTGAAAGTACGTACCTCCTGGTCGGTCTGCTTGGCAAGAAAGAGTCTCTTTTGTTTACAGCCGAGACACGACTTTTTTCGTTTTAAGCCGAGATTAATTAACCTAAGTTTAGTGTCGCGGCAGTATTTTATATAGTTGTGTGTTGACGAATTACGAGATAGTTGAGGATATCGTACAGTGACAAAAACAAAAAAAGTAACAAAAAAATACAACGACCATCCTCCGTAATTAATAAATAATAAATCATTATTTATGTTAAATTATAAAAAAATGAAAACTTGTTTTCGTAGTTTAATAAAATTTACATGGTTATATTTTATTTTCTTTGTGATTTTGGGTCTATTCCTATGACTTCATTTTTCGTTAACTTGTGCAGGTACTTTTTGACGCCCGCCCCCGACCTGCAAGGCAGCGCAGGGTCGGCGGGCGTCAACACACTCATGCACGGCAGCACAGCATTAAGCATAATCGAACAACGAGCTGTCAGCTCGTAAGCTCATACTGGTTGCGCATACATCCTTAAAACCTGTACATATCAGCGTATGCTGTATGTACAGGTATTATTGATTAAAAACGTACTTTCGGCTAGGGAAGGGAGAAAAGTACTATACGATACTCGGCCGGACAGTTTGAGTCGATGGCATGCGACTTATGACGTCATAACCTCGCAGCCATAAACTCCAACTTTCCGGCCTAGTGTCTTAATCTACTATTTTTGTATACTTACATGCAAATTCGAATGATATTGAAGAAATAAGTAATCTGAAGTTCATCCATCTCGGAAAAAGTGACATAGATTAATTGACTGTGGATGATGAGAGACAAAATAAAAATTTTAGAATGAAAAATAGAATTTTTAAGTTAACAGTGTGAACACAAGTCAAACCAGTTATGAAAATTATATTGTTTTACCTTGTATAAGGCGAAAAGTATTACATGACTCTGGTGTGCCTTATAATAAGCATTTTGTAATTCTATTATGATATTTCATTGCAGTATGTATAGAAAAGACAAATATAGATATTCAAGTGTGAAAAATCATTATCTAATTAGTATCCAGAAGAACAATAGTGATACACATTAATTTAAGTGACTGACGTGTACTGTAGTTTAAGTAAATACGTATCAACGCTCATTTATTCAATCTGTTTACATATCTAATATGCTTCAAAAATTTTATTAACTTTTTTTCTTCCTCATAAGAAAAGTTGTAATAAATGTAAAATCACATATCGAGATAACGTGATGACAATGTCTTTGATGACCTAAAATCGAGTTTTTATTAGTTTGTGCGTGCGCGATCGCGCACGCGTGTGTATCTGTCCTTCAGCAGGTTGAGAAAAGTGAACAAAATAATTCAGCTAGTAAAGGATTTATGCCCAAAAAAAAATTTAAAAGGTGAGAAAAATAATACTTAATTTATTGAATAAAAGAGAAGAATTAGCATAGAGTCTGACGAAACTAAAATTATTACGAAAGGCAGACAAGCAAGAGCTGATAAAGTAGACTGCAGAGCACAAAAAGGAAATAAGGAAAGTAAGGTTATCAGTGGACGTAGAGAAACAAGATTTGGCAAAGAAAATAACAGAAGTCAAAGAAAATGAGGGAAAAAAAAAAACAAAAAAAACACAGATGGTTGTATCGCCGAGTAAATGGCTACAAGTGATGCCTGAGAAAAATGTTGGAGCAAATAGAGGATTTTGTTAATGAAGGAAAAGGAAAAAATTATCTAGAAGACTGTCTCTTGACAGACAAAGAAAATTGTTAGAAGAGTCAGCAAAATGTTAATTTATGAAAAAATGTAGAATGGTATCCATTAAAGCAACTGGAGATAATGGCAAGGAATTAATAAAATTAAGAATTAAAGAAAGAAAAAAACAGTATGTTTGTTAAAATATTTGGAATACTTAAAAGAGGAAATGAAAGTTTGCCGCACCACATTTCATTCAGGTGAAATATTGGCCCGTTAGGAGTCTCGCAAAAATACGGACTGTTGTTCTTGCTCTTATCGTTGTGATATGAAGAGGGAAAGCCAGGGTGGAGTGGATCTTCGCATGGATCGTGATTTATCCTCTACTCGTTCGAGTACCATTGATACACTGCGAAGTTTGACCTCTGATAGATTAAGTCCTCAATTATCTAATTACTATATTTTCAATCTCCAGTGGGCCCAGCCAATGCCATCTTTCACGGCTGTATTTCTGCTTGTGACGTTTCTGAACAGGGCTGCATCGCTTCCACTTAATTAGCCTACTCTCGTCCGAAAGCAATATGCAGGCTTAAAGTTATGATCGACCACTTGTGGATCAACACCTTGATTGGAATGCGGGAAAACGTAATGATCCTGGAATGCTGAATAGATGGAGAAATTTTGACGATAATTAGCGCTTTAAATCTCTCTTTCGATGACTGCGACATGAAAATTCACGGCTAGACGACATTGCTAACTAAGATTCTTAGCAGATGCAGCGAAACAAATTACTAAGAGATGAGTTTGAAGAATGGAAGGGGAGCAAATTGAAAAGTCCTCAATCTGAATTAAGAGTTACTGGCATTAAGGTCGATACTGTCAAGTTTTTCCAAACGTTTTTTGTGGAGATTCTGACGTTGCTTAATTTGGTGAAGCTGAGTGATGATATTCTTGAAATTTGTAAGATAGTCCCTAAAAGAATTTCTGCCATAGGTGAAGCAGGGCCTGGAATTTCAGAGAATTCCGGAGACTATCTCTCGGCATCCCTTTCGACGTTATGGTTTGCTTTAAATCTACATTTATTTGTAATCACGTATTAAATGTTGTACGTATGTTCAGGGAACTTGAATATACAAAAACGAATCCAACAGCTGACTCTACTTCAAATATTAAATTTTATGAAAATTTATCAGACAATAGGTATAAATGCTTTTTTTTTTTTTTCTATGAAAAGAAAGGCAAATAAGATTGGTTATCAGTATGTTTGTACCAACAATAGTACTGTCTATGTCTGAAAGAAGATCGTTCGAACAGAATAGAAATACATAGTGAGGCAGACTTGTTGAGCTTAAATGGACCACAAGATCCACAGTCTAATGTCGAGTGTAATAGATTAACGGGAGGTAGCTTTTCTGTTGCATGTTTTAACTTGAACTCAATAAGTGATTATTACTACGATATAGTAAGCTTCTATTACTGAAACTTGGCTCTCTCCGGATCGTAGCTTAATACTTTTTGATGTCCCGGAATATAGACTTGTGCGAAATAATAAGGGTCTGCTTTCCAAAACAGGAGTTCGTAGGTATATTCCTAGGTATATGCAGGGTGTTAGAGTGGTCTGCTACTTAGAAAACGACCTTTCTTTTAAAATAATGGCAAGTCTGCAAATTGTGCACACAAATTAGACCGAATATATAATATTTAAGGTGATTTATATAGTGACATTCTTTTCAATAATTTTTGTATGCAACACCTAAGACGCTTAATAACTAAGCACTCGCTATACTTAATGCAGTTTGAGGCCATGCATCACAGAGGGAATACGCATACATAGCTCGACGTTATAATCGCTGATGCAGCTGGTAAGATAAAATTAGCCCACGACTCGCAGGCTCCATTTATTTCTGGACATGACTACCTTGCCGTTGATTACGCCTTTACCGTCGTCGCTCCCGTTATCAAAGTGATACGTTCATGCGATTTCAGAGGGTTCTCGCCTAAATCTTTTTCTGCTTCTTTTCGATATGTGTTCAGATATTTCTATCTGGATCTTTCGTTCACTGGTCATCAAGATATTTGACTTACGTGCACCTTTCAGAGTCAGAAGTACCTGCAGAATCCCTGCGCCGTGGATAACGGCTGAAATCAGGACCGAATGCAGAAGACGCAACATTATACATCGGAAGGCCAAGAGATGGTGGAATTTACGAGATATAGCTGAGTACAGGGAGTAGCGTCAGAAAATTAAGATGGTTATTAAGAGTGCTCGTGATGCCTACCTTAGGTATAGACTGACTAGAGAGTGCGATAAGTTTCAATGCTAGAGACTTTTTAGTCGTTTTGGGACTTTGACTTGTAGGCCGC